AAAATTAAAAAAAAAAAATACATAAACAGCCAATAAAATATGACCAAAAGCAACAAATTTTACTTTAGAAAAAATATATTTATTGTTTATGAGCAAAAAGTACCAATTTTACCCGTTTTTCCCCTTTCTGGGCCATGTTACGAAAAAATATGTAGCAATTGATGCTTCCTAGTGTAGATCTATCAAGTTTTGGTGTGGTTGTAACATGTACTGGCGTAATTAGAATATGCACAAAAGGTGCAAAAAGTACCAAAACTTTAAAATTTTTCTAAAGATTAATATTTAATTGATGTTATTTTAACTAATTTTTCACTCATATTTAAAATTTTGACTCTATAAATATATTTTTTACAAATGAATGTAGAATGCCCTATTTTTACATCCTGAAAGGTTGGCAGTCGCAAAAGTACTTTACTAATACATATGTATATTTAAACGTTTTGAGAGATAAAACACAAATATTTCCACGTTAGAATAAAAAATTAACATTATAAAAGAAAATACTAATTTTACCCGTTTTCTACCCTTTTGTGCCTTTCTGGTCCAAGATAAAAAAGTGATAAGCATATTGACGTTTTCATAGCTCTATGTTTAATAATTTCAAAACTCAGAGTTTAGTCCCCCTAAAATTGCAAAATCTGACACTGTGCGATGGTCTGAAAAGGAGCGCTCGTCTGAAACTCTCCAATCCTGAATTTCGTTTACAAGCTCTTCTTGTATTATATTGACGAAGGTAGCTTTATTACCTAAGTTCAATATTATCAAGTCTTTAGTATTAAAGAAATCCATCAGGGCTTATCCTCTGCGATTGGTGTTTGTACCACCCCAAGCTAAACGATGGGAGTTGGCACCACAACCTGTATGTTGGCACGACCTTGCCTCAGCACCGTTGCATCCGATGTTGATAATCCTGATGAGAGGAGAAAACATAAGTTCGTGTGACATAAGATACATGTTCTTTGGAAAGACCCTGTATCAGCGTAGAAAAGATGGAAATAAACGTGATCCAGAAACCTTGTTGCGAATCGTCCAAGGTTCCTGGATAAAAGCAATATCTATCTTACCTTTGTTTATTTTAGCCATCAGAGCGTTGATCTCGCTCCGATGGAGGTTATAGTGAGATACTTGTCTATATTTTTCTAAATTTTTTTTTTTTGTTTTTAATTATAAACTATCTAATATTTTTTATTTTTAAGTTCTGACATTTTCGTTTTTCCTATTCTGAAGTTGTTTCAAGTATTTATTTAAAATTGTTCATGTTCACATTTGTACTCTGTTCATATTTGTGAAAAATTATGGTTTTTTCATGCGAAAAATATTATGTGCAACATATGTAGTCTATCTCTCGATTTTGGAAAGCTTGTTTTAATTTCGTGCGAAAGAAGTGCTGCTTATGTTTTTTCGTAAATTGGGAAACAAGGTTACCAGATAAATTTCGCAGTGTTTTTCACAATAAGAACAGAGTACTGGTTTTGCGAAATTACTTCGCAAACATTTTGTATCTAGGTTGACAGCATTTCGCACGAAATTTTGAACAGAGTACCTACCTTTCATGCTGAACATTGAAAAACAAGTAAGAAAGTATAGTCGGGCGTGGCCACCAGTTATAAATATTAAATGTGATTTTTTTTCATAATAAAGTATTTATCTTCAATACAACCTTGTTTCCGGTACATTTAAGCAATTTATGGACGAAAAACTAATTTTCTGAATAGGGTTTATATGCGGGCTTGGGACAAATATAAACCGATTTCGGTAAAATTTTGTGAATAGATTTATATTTATATAATATTTATTTATGCTGGATTTCATCGCGATATTAGCGTTTATATGCGAATTTTGGACATTCAAGTCATTTTCTGAAGGTCACTTCGTATGGGAGCTAGGGTCAAATGAGGCCCGATATTTATCGATCTTTCATCAAGGCTTGTATAAAACTTATTTGTGCTGCTTTCCATCACTCCAGATATAGCTATATTTAACATAATTATGATCCCAAAGGCCCTTTTCGGGGTGTTCTGTTGTATGGAGGCTAGGTGAAATAATGGACCGATTTTAACCATTTTCAGTAGGCTTCGTCCTTGGGCAAAAAAAGTTTCATCGAATTATATTGAAAATTGTGACCTGTACCTTGCACACAAGGTTTACATGGACAGCCAGCCAGCCAGACGAACATAGCTTAATCGACTCAGAAAAGCCGATTGGTATACTTTAAGGTGGGTATAGGACGAATATTTTTATGTGTTACAAACATCAGCACATACCCAATATACCCTCTCCACTAATGTGGTGTAGGGTATAATAGCTATATTAAAAAATGTGGTTTGTGTCTCTACTAATTAAATTCGAATTTACATACATTTACTTAGAAATATAAAATTATATATATAAATTACAGGATCCTGAGTAAATGAGAATTTCTAAAACTTTTTAGTACTTTTTTATTATTCAACTACAGAGCCTTCTTCTGCTCAAGTATAACGATTTTTTTCTTTAGCGGAATGGTGAACTCTCCTCGTAGAAAAAATTAATTGCTCAATTTTGTATCTCGATTGCCACTTCAGCTGCCAACATGATGTGGTTACTGGAAGTTTTTTAGGCAATAGCTTGGAAACTTTGTAAATAATGAACGTTTTACTCATTAATAATATTCGTCCAATGAGTTTTTGGTTGACTTAAACCATTTCTAGACTGACCTATTGACATAAACTTTCAAATGAGTGAAACATTTCTCTGCTGTAAAAACAATATATTTAAAATATTTTTAGTTAAAAATTGTAAATATCACTATCACTATTATTGAGTGAGGCTTATATTTTTCAATTCATTACTAAACATAAATAAAAGTGGTGAATAGTTTTGAACTACCACTGATTATTAGTGATAGTTAAAAATAAGTGCACTACCCCCATCTCTGTTAAACTAGTACTTTTTGAATTTTTAATATTGAACTTAAAACATTAAATTAAACATTCACGTCTCGAATGAATATAAATGTGTAGGAAAGGATTTTTTTTTTTGCATTTCGTTCTTCAACGGGGATTTTATGAGTTTTTTATAATATTGAATCTTGAGTCCTGAGTAAAAGTATAATAGGGATCTTTTAGTAGTTTTTCGTTCTTCATCTGGTACATTTTATGTTTTCTATAATATTGAACTTAGAAATATAAAATTGAACATTTTGGGTCCTGAGTGAATTAATATCTATAAAGAGTACTTGTAGAGTAAATGAAAATCTGTAAAAGGTACTTTTTAGTACCTTGTCGTTATTTAACTGGTTTTTGAGGCTTTTGAACGAAGAAATTAAACATGTCCTGAGTAAATGAGTTTCAATAAAAGGGGACTTTTTGAAATTTCTATGATAATGAACCTACAAATATAAAATTAAACATGAGTGAATGCAAATCTGTAAAATGGAATTTTACAGATTTATTACAAGACTGGCATAATCCAAAATTAGTTCAAAAATGAACTAAATGCTACAAAGCAAGCGTTATACTAAAGTATTTCATATAAATTTATCAAACTTCAAATATTTATTTTCGGTATGAGATCATGTTTGACTCATGTTTTCACGAATATTAGTTAAATAAAAATTAAATTTCAGTTAGATTATAAACTATTAACCTCTAGTTTAATTTTTCATATGTATCCCTTGATTTATTTAAAAAATAGTAAAATGTCATTAAACAATCAAAGCCATTTTTCTCCAAACGACTTTTTTTAGATTGTGCCAGTCTTGCTGTAAATGAGCGTTCATTATAGATATAGATTATAATATATAGACAATATAGATTTTTTTCAGTTTTTGCTCAAATATTTAATATAGAATTTTTTGTTTTATTTCTGTTATTCCTCTAATTATATACAGCATTATTCAAATAGATAGAGTTTTTTCGAATTTTTGAACTTTGGTGTTAAATTATTCCCAAGTGCCTTAAAGGGTAATCTACCTTTTTTTCACTCTCTTTTAAATATCGGACTATATACGATAAATTCCAGTAATTTTTGGTAAATATGACCGAAAAATAAATATTATTTCGATTCGAAAATTCCCAAATATTGCAAAATTTGAATTTTGAAATTTGTTTAACAAAGATTTGTTATCCAATCAGCCTAATTTTTTGTTCTTTTTTTTTATCTTTCCGAAATGCTTACTCTGTGCGCATTACGATTCCTTTACAATAAAGTTCAAAATTTATTACTAAATGGTCAAATTTGAGCAAAAACTGAAAAAATCGATATTTTCCCCCTTTTCCCACTTTGAAACTTCAGAGCCGTTGCGGCACCTGTTAACGTTATCCAATCAGCCTAATTTTTTGTATGACATAGTTTTACAACCCATAGAACAATTCTAGAAGGGGGAGACGGCCTGTCAGACAAAATTTGTTTTCCTTCATACAAGCTTGAATCACTCTATTGTACATATATACATCAAATCCGAAGAAATACACCTAGGCCTCTATCGGGTCCGTTGTGCGCCTTAACCAGTGCCTAAGGTGGGAATCGATCTCTCCGCCTCCGTTTTACTGTACTATTTTATTCGAAGTTTTTATAGTTATAGATATAAATTTCGAAAAAAACACAGCAATTGATATCGTATAGTTTCTAAAGATATCTATATTTTCTAAAAATATCTAATACCATTATACTTATTTAGCTTTTAAATAAGGATAATGATATAAAAAAATTTATTTTAGTCATACATAGATATTTTTCTTTACTCCTTCACCAAAATAGCGTATAATTTGGGTGGACACATTCTGCGTAAGTACGAATAACTGTACTTAAGCAGATAACAACTCAGCTCTAACCATGTGAAATACATAGTTCCCGTGGTACCGATATGTATTTATAATTAAACCGAAAAATTTTAAAAAACAAAAAAATCCACTTATTGTTTAAGGGAGATTATCGTTTATCGCTGTCGAATATTTCTATTTCTGTCTATTTAAATGTAAGAAAGCAATTATTTTTCACAATTTAATACTAATACATACCATTTCTTTTATATCGCACTTCTGAGCAAATTCCAGTCTATGTGTAGTTCTATTATACAGTTGAAAGCGAGGTGTGAGTGTAATAAATGTTGTACAGCTATATAACCCAGTTCCCCTTTGCACATTTACACCAATTACATAGTTAATTTTTGACTGCTCTGCCTTTAACTCGCGAAAAGTAGTCTCTTTGTGGATTCCAAAACTTTTACACCACTAAAATTAAACAAAAATATATTTTATTAGATTTTTATGGAGCAAATCTTGCGTGCTTATTATTCGATCCTAAAAAGATGTATTCATATAAATAAAGATATTCCCAGAAAAAATAAAACGAAGTACTTCCAAAAGAATAACATTTATCACCACTTCAAAGTAGCACAAAGTTTTTACCACTTTAAAATAAAATATTATTAGTATTTCATTATCGTAACAAAATACATTAAAATTTGTACTTAAAGTATTCAATCGCTATCTGGAATCATTATTTTCAAATTAATACTGCTGTTTTATACATAAATTATTTTTTGACTTGGTTCACTTGACACGAACTTGCCCATATAAGATTTTTAATATTAAAATCAGATATTTTTACACCCACCTTTTTTAAATACAATTTTATTAATTTTCATATAACTTTGGATCTAATTATTCTAAATATAGGTCCTTTTTAGTTATTAGCACCAGGTCTTTCAATGACCTATCATTGAGCATGCCGTTCCCAATATATTGAACTTAAGTAGATAGTTTTTTAACGTGTATAACTCCTTAATTAGAAGAGAGCAAACAAAAAATAGAATTGTAGTATTAGTGTCAAAAGCAATATCCCGTTTAGGGTCGTTAACGTGTTCCTATCGTTAGTCACTGTAAATAATTTTAAAAATAATCATGACTTAATAATTTCAGACCTTTATAGACAGTTTAATTCCAAGTTATATTAATGTTTTAAACAATTTTCATGAAAAGTAATGCTTTCATTGATCCAAGACAATAAATAAATTAATTAATTAATTTTTAATTATTTCCATTTTTTTTAGAAAACAGTAGCTTAAATTGTACCCCCTATACTTCTAGCCAAATTTAAATATAAAAAGAGATCTGGTAAGTTATTTAAGTCTTATTTCATTTTGTGGTTCCATTAAAAATGTCGATTATTTGCAGAAAATGTAAAAAATGCATCTGACCGTTTAAACTTTGGTGGGAAATGTATTGGATATAAGAGAATCCTATTTTTATTGCTTCCTAAAGTATAACAGGTAATTTCAATAAATACATACTTTTGTACATATAGTGTCTCTCATAAGTATTCGAATTTAGGTGAACTATGAAAAGAAACCAAATTTAATAGTATATTTTGTGTGCAAAAAAAATAAATTAATTTGTTATATTGTCTAGACATTCCTTAGGTTTGATATCACGCTTTTTAAAACTTGAAAAATTTACATTTACATAAATTAAATTAGTTTTTTTTTAAAAAGTCCATAAAATTGCCTCACAAAAGTATACGAATTTTTCCTGTATTTCATATTTGATCGTATTATACGAAACACAAATTTTAGAATCGAATGGTTTTTATGCTTTAAATTGTTTTAAGGGGTTACTATCAACCGAAATGATATATTTTTAGCCAAATTTTTTGGGGATTTGTACCCTCTTTTTATGTAATATCATTAAAATGGCGATTTTTTGCAATATTTGTAGTATTTTCTCTTTTTTTCCAGAGATAAAACCAAAATTTGATATTGGGATTTAATAGAACCCTTGGAGTATCTAAAAATTGTATTTTTTGTTACAATAATCTGTATTTGAACGATCCAAGATATATTATTGATATCATTATTCTGTCGCTAATTCAATATACTGGAACTTAAGTCCATTTTCATAATACTAGGGTCAAAAATTTTCGGGGAAAGTTTTCTTGTATATATTCTTTTAGATATCAGCTTTTATATATTTTAAGTTTTCAATGTATTGTGGAAGTGTACAACTCCAAAACATGCCTCGAAGAAATACCATTCAATACGATACCAAAAATACATCTTGGAACTTTTAAGTACAGATCCTTATAACAAAAATTATTATTTTTAGATACCTCAAGGGGTCTATTAAATTCCAATATTAAAGTTCGGTTTTATTTCTGAAAAAAAGGCAAAAAAATTGCAAATATGGTCAAAAATCGCCATTTTAATGATATTACATGAAAAAATGGTACAAATGCTCCAAAATTGTGGAACAAATGGACCCAAAATATATAATTTCGGTTGATAGTAACCCCTTAATACAATTTTAAGCAAGAAACCACTCGATTATAATTTTTGTGTTTCGTATAATATGGTCATATATGAAATACAGGAAAAATTTGAATACTTTTGTGAGGCAATTTTATGGACTTTTTTTAAAAAAAGTTAAATCAATTGAGGTAAATGTAATTTTTCCAAATTTTAAAGAGTGTGATATTATACCTTAGGACTCTCTAGACAATATAACAAATTTATTTATTCATTTCACACATAAAAAATATTATTAAATTATATTTCTTTTCAAAGTACAACCAAATTCGAATACTTATGGACAAAAAAAAAAAAAGTTGTGTCAGTCACCCACTAGGATTAAAGATATGTTAATAACATTTCCAAAAATATAAAAATTATTTTTTTGCCACGCCTAGAAATACCGCCCTTTTTGTTTTTTATATATTACTCCGCCATTTTAAGTCCGATCGTAACATATCATATATCAATATTTATGGCTTGGTTGTAGCTACATTTCACCCTTAGACGATTTTTAAATTAGACGTAACATTCTATGCCCGACTTCTGATATCTCGGATACTTCTCCAAAATCTGAAATTGTGGCTATACAATAATAAAGAGCTTTTAATTATATGAAATATAGGCTTTTGAAATGCTCACTTTTATGCATAAACAGCTATTTTATAGAAATTTAAAAATGTTCATATATTCATTATCACCGTCGAAAACATTTTTTTTTTTTGGAAAATGAATTATAAAACTGTTATTTTTTCAGTTACAAACCCTTCCAGATCCTACTTCCTATCAAAAAAGAGGAAAGTTTATTATATCCTACAGCACTATAGTAGTTTAGCTTTGTCCATCCGACTTGTAATCAAACTACAAGTCGAAATTTTCCAGATAATTCGATGCAAATAGACTGATATATTTCATTTTACCCAAGGACGAAGTTGTTTGAATATGGATTATATCGAAAATGTTTGAAAATGGATTATTCCCCTTGCCCTCATACAACCGTACTCCCCGAATAGGGCTTTGGAGCGATTTATTTCTAGTGAATAAACAAATTGTTTAATAGTGAAACCTATTAGTTATTATGATAGTTGACAATGGCGTATATAAAAATGGATAAATTGGACTTTTTACCTTACCTTTTGTTTTTTGTCAATGAAATCGCTAATTTTGGTCGGAGGAGTCCATATGTTTTTGACATATGTTTTGATGCAATACATTATAATCAACAATAAAATCGATTTTTAATTTTTGGTTAGTTAGGGCCGTTTGCGTTTCAGGTGACGATATGGAAATTAAGACAAAATTCAATATAAATGCTATATTAAAACATAAATCATATTTTAGTTATGGTCATATATGATCGGCCATTCCCGATTATTCGTTTTTTATTAGTTTTTATTATTTAAAGAACTTCTTTAAAAATATGTAACTATTTAAAGAAATCATAAAATAAATTTATCACATTTTATAAAAATTAGTATAAACAATTTTAAAAATTTTTAAAAAAAGAAACATGCAAGTAGTTGTATGGAAAAAAATGTTTTTCATACATTTTTGTAAAACTTAGCATAACACTTTAATTTTTCATAGATTTTTATAAAATAAAATGTTTAATTTTTATGTACCTACGTGATTTTGTTATTAATTAATAGAATTAAATGCTGAATAAAACGATCTTTCTTTTGTTAAGATAGGGATAGGATGCAATTTTTGTATTGTAAATTAATTTTAAAAAAATTGTTTTCGACCATATCCCTAGCAAATTAATTGTTTGTAGTTTGAACTATACAGTTATTTTTAAATACCTGTAAAATAGCTCTTTATGCATAAAAGTGAGCATTTTAAAAGCCTATATTTTATGTAATTAAATAGCCACGTATAGCCACAATTTTATATTTTGGGGAAGGATCCGAGATATCAGAAGTCGCGCAAAGAATATGACGTCGAAATAAAAAATTGTCTAAGAGTGAAATATAGCTAAAGTCAAGCCATAAATATTGATATATGATATGTTACAATCGGACTAAAAATGGCGGCGTAATGTATAAAAAACAAAAAGGGCGGTATTTCTAGGCGTGGCAAAAATTTTTTTTATATTTTTGGAAATGTTATTAACATGTCTTTAATCGTAGGGGGTGACTGACTCAACTTTTTTTTTCGACCCACCCTACTGTATATTCAATGTTCAAATTGCCAATCCATCAAATTGTAAGAGTTATATTTTGGAACGCATTAATTCTTCAACGAAATAAACAAAAGTAATATTATAATTAAGAATTACAAAATATTTTAGAGTCCAACGTTTTACAACTTTTGGAAGTGTACCAGTCAACAGTTGGAAGATTAATACAGATTCCCTGAAAATTATCATATTATTAGGTAATAATTAAAATTTTTATACATATATTACTTTTTTCATACATATATTACTTCTTTTAAATTAGTTGTTAGATTAATTACTTTTTCTACTATTTCAATTACAATTATATCAATAAAAAATATAAAATTTAATATTATTTAGATTTTTTTTATAGATTTTATGTTGGTGAGTATACAAATAGAAGAGAAAACTCATCTTCTAGAAGACGAGAATACTCATCTTCTAGAAGATAAGATAGGAACACTTCTGGAAAATACGATAACAACACTTTTAGATGATACTAAGAAGTCACTTTAAGAAGTGACTTCCTAGTCACATCTAGAAGTGTCTTTACCTTACTTCCAAGAGACATCTAGAAGTTTCTTCTGCGGTTCTTCCAGAATTATCTTCCACGTTATGCTTAGACGTTCCCCAGCACGGCATCAGTTCTTCCCGACTGGTGATAAGAATTCGTATACTTCCGCAATATCGCTGGTGAGCTTTTAGCACGTTTGGAAGTTTCACACGGGTTACTTCCGCAATAGAAAATGTTTGTAGGGATTTTAAGGTATTTTCAGACAAAAATATAT